AAAACAGAGGAAAGTAGGGACAGAAAAGTCTCAAGGGGCAGGTAAATTGTGTGAAGGTGAGGGAGCATATAGGCTGCAGCAGGAGGGTGACAAATACAATAAGAACCATTGAGGGATGGTACATCTCAGCAGAGCCAGGTCATCCATCATTTATCATTACGCATAAGTGCCTCTGTAACATGTTTATTTTTACAGGACTCATACAGTTCACTTTAAGCTGCAGTCTTCCTATTTCTTCATGAGACCATCTGACAGAGGTTTGATTCATGCACAGGTGTTTGCTAAGCTGGTTTTATCCATGGCCAGTCTGGTTTGGGTCTTGACTGATCATGAGGATGTGGAAAAAATGCTTAGTTTCCACGCTATGCTTATAAACACAATAAATAGATTTCGGCAATAAAGGCGATGAAGTGACCACAGTGCATGGAGAAGCTGTTCCCTATCTCTGCAGGCTCCATGATTAAAACAAAATAGTACACTTGATGCTGCGATGCTCCGATCGGATGATGGTGGTTCAGGCTTGTTGTCAGCTGTGTGCTCTGCGATAGTTGAATGCCTTTCAATGATACTTTGGCTTGAACCCTTATTGACTGAGTTGGGAGAGTCCATTTTTTCTCTCTGCAATTTAGAGGAACCTGAAGGTCCCAGTGTGAGCATGAAACACATGGTTACGTTCTGTAACACAACCCAGCGTCAAGATGAGGCTCCAGGTTTAAAGAGGTCCCATTGAAGGAGGCAACAGTAAACAAATGCGCCCTTGACTCTTGAACCCACTGTGACTTAAGATCGGTCTGGGAAAGAACTAGTCCAGTATTTCTCTCACAGTAGTTTAGATTACAATGTTTGTATCACTTTTTTTCTGCTGCATTGAAAATAAACATATCAAAGGATGACCTTTCATACTTTTTCGGCTCTGTCTGAAATACTTCACAGTGATCTATAAAGTGATGGATCATGAGAAGTCCATCACTCTCCTGGATTCAGCACTCACTCTGTCCCACTCAACCATAAAGGTCTGATAATGGACAGCTTCAGAGGAGCTACCCCGCTTCAAACCAGAGTTATAAGTAGCATAAATAAGAAAATTTTTTCTCAGGCACATGTATTTTTCAATCAAATGCTAGAGGAGGAGGAGCAGATCTCAAATGATGAAGCCTTAGGCTTCACTTCACCAGTGTTCACTGAGTTCAAGATTGCTCATCAACCTTTTTTTCCAGGATCCTTTTTTGACCAGATCCTTTTTTGATGTGGCAATACATCAAAACTTCAACAAAAACATATAATTATTTTGTGAAAGAGAATATGAGATGCAAATGATACAGCAAATGCACCTGGCTGAGTTAGTTTAGGGCTTTATTTTGTCACTAACCTTCAACAAGTCCACCTCAGGTACAAACCCTCTCTGCCTCCATGCTTTTCACTCATTTTTATTCGTAAGTTTTTCCTGATGCATGTCAGTGACAAAGACACAACCTGTCTGGTTCATGTTCGATGTTTGACTGGGGCTATCAATGACCCCATGTCAGAACCCTAATATATCCTGGAGATGTTGTGGAAAGTCCAGCATAAACAATGCACAGGAGACATGATGAGATCTGAAGAACAGTCTGGGGCGTCTTTAATAGTACAGATGTAGAAATCAGTACAGATGACAAACAGAGTCTCGACCAAGACCCAAGGAAGCCTCTCTAGCTTTACTTCTACTCTCTTTTATGCTGTTAGGTGTGTGTGTGTGTGTGTGTGTGTGTGTGTGTGTGTGTGTGTGTGTGTGTGTGTGTGTGTGTGTGTTTGTGTGTATTCACATACACACCTCATGATGGCATGTCTGCCCCACGACACTTTGTTTAGGTCCGTCTTGACCCTGGCAGAGATTACATGTTCCAACAGACAGATAGTTTGGGCTCCTGCAAGACAGCCTTGCTTACAATCTCATGGTCGTGGGGCTGCAGGAGCAGGCCAACCTAGATTATTTGTAGCTTCTTACTAAAAGATAATTACTCTACATTTCTTAACCTAACTGTATGAAGAGATTCCCCTACACAGTCCCCCCTTTGAAAGTTCTTACTTTCATAAAAAACCTAATCATCATATCAAACACTAAACACCATACCATAGCTTGGACCATTTCAAATTATATCAGCGCGTAAGACTGAAAACCCTGCTCGGCTGTTTCAGCAGGGAAAGAATCTTACGGCCCCGCGCCCTGGCGACCATCCATTTCCTGGATGCACTGACATAATTTCATTTGCATAGAAGAAGTGTCAACTTCTGATAATACCATTACATTACATTGTAGCAACATGCGACAAACCCCTTGATTAATATGTGATTGGTGTAGTCCTTTAACTCTGTGAATGAAACATGTTCAGTTCAATATTTCAGCTCATTGAATATGTTGTTTGTGTTGCTCAAAGTCCATTGCTCATCTTCGTCTTCTGCAAAGTCCAGGAACCGTTCAGGTCCCTCAGTCCCTCAGATGGACCTCAGTCAGGTCCATCCTTGATCAATCACACACTGTGCCAGCTGTTTTGGTGGCATTTCCTGCAGTTCATGGGCCAGTGTTAGGTCCACCATAAGTCCCATCTCCTCCGTCAGCCGCGATGACAATGTCTCCCACTTCTTCTCACAGCTGTACTGGCACCAGTTTGACCTTCACCCTCATTGTTGTCATCAGTCTCTCTCTCGGTCTCTCTCCACACATTGTCCCTCAGCAGCAACACCAGGAAAACAGTTACTTTCAGGACGAGTGCTACAGTCATTCTGGGAGCGTCTCTTATCAAGTCATACTTCCCTTGTTTTTCTGGGCAGTCAGCGGTAGATGACGCCACATCATATTGCCCTCTTCTTGCACTGAAGTAGACTCACCAGGACCAAAGTGTTCAGGTCTTCTCCTCGTTCTTTTTGCCACCCTCCTCAAAGGACGGTGATGTACACCTGGTGCTCTGGCTCGACTGGCCTCCCCCTCTTGACTGGGATCAGATTTTGGCACTCCTCCTACTAATCGATAGATCTTTGCATCATAGTTAGCTGCCTCATATATTTAATTCACTAATTTTTCAGCTGCTCAAGTGAAAAACTTAATTATTTAGCCGCAGTAAAGCATAGCTCTGTAAGTTAGCAATTCATTCAGTGAAAGATTTATCACAGTGCTTTTGATTGTGAAAGCTCATAAGCGCAAGTAGCAAAGCATCTTCCTATAAGTTAGTGTTAGTGCAAATTCTCTGATCTGATATTTACTTGAGAGATTAACTTTCTTCCCCAAAATGATGTACCAGTTCATGCAGTGAAAGATTTATTTTGACTCCAAGATCTTTTGATGGTGTTGCTTCTATCCATCGACTGAACCTGTCATCATTACAAACATGTAACATATCCCTTGGCAGTTTTAATCATGTCCACATTGTCTATAAATAGATGTCTAAAAACGTCTCTCTGGAACTGGAAAAGTGTCCCACTACTGTTTTATTGTTCTCTTCAATTCATCTAACAAAACACATATCACAATGACCCAAAAGTTTATCAACTATTGTCAGCATATTCTAAAAATGTCGTTTTAATTGTCTCATCATCTCCCCCCTTGCACAGTGTAAATCACTGTGAAAGTCAGATCCTAAGTTTGTTTGTTAATACTACTGGTACAAAAAATAGTTATTTGACTCTAAACCATTTTCTGTGGCCTTATTGACCTTCCTATTACTTTTACATTAGGTGGCACATCTGTGAGGAGTGTATGTGGATTCAGCACAGCTGCATTTAGATTTATCAGTATTAAACTAACAGAACAGGGATGTTACAATGTTAATGTCACGATATTTACTTTAAAACTATAAACCATAACTGTCTACGTACACACCTTGCGGTGAGCACCAAATTTGAATGTTACTTCTACATAGGGCTTTTCGGTCTATAAGGTCAACAGGGTTAAAATTAAAACTAACAATTAACTTTTTCCATCATCCACAAAAATCACACTGTAGTAAGCCACCACTTTAACATTGTCTGGGCTGGGGCCCCCCACCACAGCTCCAGCCAGAGGCGTCCCTGGTCTGGGCAGTTGTCAAAAATGTCTGGTATGATCACATCCCCAGCAGGTCTATAGACGTCACATGTCCATCAGAATTCCACTCTCTCCCCCTGCCGAGATATATCCTCTCTATGGAGCAGGGTTCTGTCTGAGGATAAACATTCACAACAGGTGATTAAACAGGTTACTGTCACAGGTTTTACCGCAATTAGCGTCTGCACGGTCTGCATCGCTGGGTCTCTTTTGCAGTGTCCCCCTTAGAGGTGGCTGTTTCAACTTCTGCTGAATGTTCTTTCCTGTTCTTTCAGTCTCCGCTCTTCATCTGGCAGCACCCTCCACATCACGTCACAATATGCATTGAACTCACTCCCATCAGTCATGGGATTCGTCATCCAACCTTGTTTTGCCTTGTGCAGAAACTTCTCCATCGTCTTAGTTCCCAGCAGTTTAGCCAAGAGTGCTTTCATGTCTGGTGTAGTCAACATTTTCCTACAGTTCATCCTCAAAAACTCGTATCCATCTCCCTGCCCCCTGTTCAGTTTGTGGTAGTCTGGCAACCAGCCCAACAAGGTGTGTGGTTTTCCACGGCCAACATTTCACGAAAACTGTCAATTTCCTTTTCAAAACATATGGGACAAAAATAGCAGTGATTATGAATCATTTGGAAATTCAAAAGACATAAATAAATAAAAAAATAATAAGTTTTAAGGCAACCTAAGATAGAAAAATTTTAGTTTTTATTCTATTCTTATTTATTAGTTCAAAAGACCTGGGGCCTCATGTATCAACGCTTGCGGCGCAAGAAAACCTTGCGTACGCCAAAATCGGCACACACTTCCAGATTTATTATCGCGAAACGAGCGTTGGTTCCAGCGCTAATCAACGCAAAGTCAGGAGGTGGTGTAGAAATTGGCGTTGAGCCGATACTTGCGTTGACTGTGATTCGCACTTTGGCGACGCTGTGTGGCGGTGTTTGGTGACTCACTATGTGACAAGCGTGCGCCACATCCCCGTGGCCGAGCAGCACGTCGCCCCACATGACGAACCAGCAGCAGACGGAGGGATGCGAGCTGATCCCTGCCGGGCCGCCGTCCTCGCGCAGGTGAATCTCATCGCCACAGTGTGAATGGGTAAGAAGCGAATACACAGTTCAATGAGCCAAATTAATTTATTTTCTCCACCAGACGCTCGAGGACATTTACGAGCCGGTCCAGCCACTCGTTGATCCCCGCGATCCCCCTGATGATTTCTTCCTGCGATTGCAGGACCCCCTCCGCGAGGACCCTTCCACTGCATCCGGGTGGTCCAGCGGAAGCGCCGCGGCTGGTGGACGCTCCACCGCTTGTCGGCGCGCTGATGCTGGTGCTGGTGCTGGGGCCGGGGGCCGGGGTGGCCCGAATGCCGCTGGTCCTGGCCGACGACTCCGAGCCGGCGGACGGGCTGCCGCGGGCCGGGGTTCCGCAAGCCAGCGACACGGTCGACACATTGATTTCTGTGACACAATAAAAATATTGGTTCATTTCAATTCCTGTTTCTGTGTATCTGTTGCGTTTACATCTCTCTCCACGGTATCATAGGAAATGTAATCCAGTATTTAGAGGTCAGTTATGCACATTACAGTTGTTTATTGCATAAAAAGTTATCGAAAAATGAAGTAAAGGGCGAAGTATAAATCACGTCTAAAAATAGACTGAATCCCGACGTTGAAATTAAGTATGAACTTAGACTAGACGTCTAATATACGTCTTTTGCTCAGTGGGATGACAAAGCATGTGGACATTTGTGTGACACGCCACTTACCCTATAATAATAATCGCCACCACCCGCTGCTCAAACGGCGTGAGGGTCTCCTCCCCCGGAACCCCACCTGTCTGGCCAGTACTCCTCCGGAGGGCAGCTGTACGCCGCTTGACCTCCACCTTGAGGTCCGACCACTTTATTTTAATCTCCGCGGGGGTGCGTGTCTCGCAACCCACCGCATTCACCCTCTCGCAAACTTTCTCCCACTCCAAGCGTTTTCGTTTTGCACTGACGCCACTGGACAGGCTGCCAAACAAAACACGCTGTCGCTCCTCCACCTCCGCCACCAGCACCTCCACCTCACACGCCGTAAATTTAGTTTTTCTTGTCATTTTGTCTGCGTGCGAGGACAGGGAGACCCGATTTAAATAAATCTGCATATTTATAGGAGGGCGTAACGGGGGCTGGCCCAGTCACTCCGACATCTGCGCTCAATTCCACGCTGATTGGGATTTATCAAGGAAACACACATGGATTTCGGCGCCTGCACACATTGATACATACGGATTTTTTTCAGCGGACGGACCTTGCGTGCGCTCGTTTCTGGTATGAGTTCCACGCAAGTATTGATACATGAGGCCCCAGAGCATGATTTAAAAAGAGAAAAGTAATGCATTTAAAGAGCAAATACACAAGAAGAACGTTGAAATCAGGTTCAAAAAGGTCACAGTATGACTTAAAATCTAAAATTGGACTCTAAAGTATAAAAATGACAAAAACCTTTGAACATGTCCACTACTTTTAGTTCCATATCTCTTGTTTTTGCGTGTTTTACTTTTATCTTTATGTTTATGGTCTTAGATTCGCTGCTCCAAATCCTCACACACAGTCACATCAGATGTGCCTCCCCTAGGTCATAAAAATTCAAACCCCTTGACTCAATGTTCCCATTTCTTTGTAAGTTTTTGGATATTTTTTAAGTGATCAGGATATTTACACCCTACCAATGCAATTGGAGTTAAACTAATCTTCCCTTTCTGGTCATGGTTTTTGTAAAATGTATTATTCAAATGAGCACACACATTAAAACTTGATCCCCAGCAGTTTTGTAAAATTCCCAAAAAATAAACAGTATAAAGCTTTTGCCTTAACTGCAGTTCTATAGCAATAGTCAGTATTGATATTAACAGCTTCAATAATATTTAAAAAACACAGTATTTTGGCAAAAACAGCAGATGTATAGAAGCAACTCTTAGATTTGAAGTTTTAGAAGTTTTGCACTTGTGGTACCTCATTTCTTTTTCCCCTTTTTGTATCTTTTATACTTTTACAAACATTATTTCAGCAGCTTTAACACAGAACATTTGTTAAGGAGCATAAGACATGTGTAAACAACAAAAAACCATAATATTTGAGCATAAGCTAAAACCTTCATATCAGGAGTGTTCATCATGGTACTAGGAACAGAACCTCTTTCCCAGGAGTATTTAACCTTCTATGTCTCAACTGATAACATGACCGCAATGAGCACAGTATTCACATACACAACTATGAAATAAACACAAGTGAGGAAAACACAGCAATCTTTGACTAGCATAACACACACACAGATGCAGAGTCTGGCTGTGAACACTGCCAGAGAACTTAGTTGACACAGAACAAAACAGACACACACAAACATCCAATCAACCCACACACTTCACTTTTTCATCACACAATGGTATACCCTTTCACACGTGTTTGAAGTCAAAGTCAGTCACTGGAGTCAGTCAGCAGTCTTCTATTTTAATTCTTGTGTAGCAATCAAGACAACCCTGGGTGTGAAACTCGCACATTCCTCATAGGAAAGTTTCCTTATCTGGTCCCAGGACACAGGATATAAATCTTTCCAGACTTGTTTGCACTTTCAGGTTACCTAAATGACCCAACCGGAGGTTGACTAAACCTCTGACTCTTCACGATTGGTCAATTCGGAGAACAGAGACAGAGTTTTTATTACCTTTCAAACTGACTCCATTGCTGACCATCTAAATAAACATTAACGCTTCAACCCAGATCTCCCATTTGAGATTTACCGTCTTAAAGTGTGTGAACATACGGACCCCAGGATAAGGGGGGACACTGACCTCCAGACCTCGGTCGTAAAACCCTGCTCGACCATACACTGATAAAGACTACATTCCTTTGGTGAAAGAATACAAATGACTGATCATGACATCTTATGCATTCAGCAATGTACTAATCTGTCTAATCATGAAATTTGTGTTAAAATGAGATGTTTCCCGTTTTTCTATGTGCTCCAGAAGCAGAGTTATCACTCTGACAGAATAAATCCTTTATTCTTTAGTCTCCTTAGACCAACAGCTTTTCAGACTGTTTCATGAACTTTTAAGAGTTAAATTTATTGACTATGAATCATAACTTTACTCTAAGAACACAGAAATAGTTTAGAAATGTTTGGTTTATATTTTAGTTGTTTATTTAGTATTTTTAACCATTAGGTGGTTATAATGTCATTGAATAACCTGAATGTGAGTATTTAGAATCCATTATTAATCATGATGAAGTTCATTCACATGTGTTTACTCTTTTGTTGTACACTGTTTCCATGTGTTACTATCTGTTTCATTTCAGAGTAATTTAGCATGTTCAATGTGATACTTAAAACATAATGAGAATGTTTGATATGATCCTACACTTCATTCATATGTGTTTAGTATCAAATTATTTATCATGAAACCTAGCATTCGATGATATTAATCATAGTGAGTGAGTATCAGATCTGACTCTTTTACCAGCCAAAAGAATAAGTTAGATCAAATAATCAGAGATCCAAGGTCCTCTCTGCTTGGAGACCACACAACCCCTCCTCTGTCTCCACACACACACACACACACACACACACACACGCCAGAGACACTCCCAGTGTGAGAAGATAAAACCAGTGAAGTGGGGTTGCTCACGCTCTTATCTGCTCTTCTCTTATGCTCCGTTCTCTTGTACCCTTCCTCTTCTCTCCTCTTCTTTGTTTTCTCTTAGAACTTTTCTTAGTCTTCTAAGTTTTACGCCACGTGTTGATTCACGTTGATTTTTCTTTAACATCGTCTTAGTTCAAGTTTTGAAACTTCAACTTTTTGTGCACATAGCAATTCAAGATGAAGCCTTTGATTGATTTTTCTTTAATTTCGCGAAGCCATTTTTGAAAGTTTTCTCTGCTCACAGAGCCTCGTTTTTCTGAGTTATCTGCGTGATTTCAAAATCACCTCTGAACGCAACCCAGCAGGCCCAGGTCCTCCTCTGTGCCAGAGTTTTTGAGTGAGACCAAAGAAGTACCCAAACGAGCATCCACAGGATCCACAGGCGCTGGCTTTGCTTCGGGCCCGAGTGCTGCAACTCCTGGCTCATCCTTCGTCTGACTTCAGTCGTCTTCTGAGCTGAACCGCTCGAACCACCAGTAGCCCCGGACCTTCGGAACCTGCTCCATCTTCTCCAAGGACCAGTCTCACTTAAGTATGCAAACCTCCAGAGCTCCAAAGAGGGCTGATGCTGTCTCATGCGTTCATAATTCAGATATCCACCTATTTCTGGTGATCTTAGATTCCTCCAAATCCACATCCGAGTTTATCTCGACACCAAAGTTAGTGTAGGTTAATATGTTAGGGCATATTCACTCACTATCATTAACTTTAGTGCTCCTAGCCTGACTCAGAATCTTTATTTATTCACCTATTATTATTTATCCTCATTATCTTATCATCATTTATTGCATGTGTGTTGTACCATCATTTATCCTGTAATAAACAGATCATTATTTTTCTAAGTTCTTGACTGTTAGTGTTCTTCCAGAAGTGGAGTCCCTGAAATTAGAATTTCGACTTAAGATATGAGACTGATTAATTAAAACTGACTTGATGTTTGATTTCTGAATCAAATTTTTGTTTTCTTTATTTTCCCACCATTAAGGGTGGGTGGTGCCCCTTTCAACGAGTGCATAAATGTCATAATTTGAGATTATTAATCTTCAGACATTTATTATAAATTCTAATCGCTACAGTATTATTTTGGTGCGGCCTTGTGAGGCTCATTACAAATCGCTAAACTTGTTTTGATTTCTTCAATTTTTCCAATTTGTGTGATTTGTTAGGTGTTGTGAATAGGTGGACCCAGAGCAGAGGCTGAATCAGATCAGGATTTCAACAAACAGTGATTTTTATTTACATGTGAGTAAAAAGTGAACAAAGCAATGATGTTGGTGGTGGCGGGAGCTCGTGGAGACCTGGAAAAAACGAGAAAGAGAGAAGGAGTTAGTCCAGGGGTAAAACGAGCATGAATCCACAACAGTCATCAAAAAATGAAGCACCAGATAATCTCCGTGAGGGGAGAAGAGGCTGAAGGCCAGCACAAACGTAGTGAACGAACCACTTAGTCAGGCAATCAGCCGGCACTGAGAAGATTCCTCCCTGGGCTCTTGTAGGCAGGTAATCAGACCGGAATTAGCAGCAGGTGAGGTCTCCAGCAGGTGATCAGCTCCCGCGGTGCCACCCATGCAGGAAGTGAAGAGAGGGATCCTGAGCAGCCTACAGCGCCGCTCAGGCGAAGTGGATAAAGGGGGGAAGACAGCCCGAGAGGGGAGGGCAAAGAGGAGCAAAACTGGAGGACTGGGGACCAGTCCTCACAGTACCCCCCCCTCAACGGACGTCTCCCGACGTCCTACCCGGCTTGTCGGGGTGGTCATGGTAGAAGTCCCGGAGGAGGTTGCCATCAAGGATGAGACCGCGGGGGATCCATGACCTCTCCTCAGGTCCATATCCCTCCCAGTCGACCAGGTACTGGAATCCTCGCCCCCGCGGCCTGACGTCCAAAATCCGGGATACTGTAAACGCCGGATGGTCATCAATGAGTCGGGGGGGTGGAGGGGGCTCGGCCGGAGGGCAGAGCTCGCTGGTCTCCACTGGCTTGAGAAGAGAGACGTGGAATGTGGGATGGACCCTCAGGGAAGCTGGCAACCTGAGTCTCACGGCAGAGGGGTTAATAATCTTCTCCACTGGAAAAGGACCAATAAAACGAGGGGCCAACTTACTAGCCTCCACCTGGAGGGGCAGGTCCCGAGAAGATAACCACACCATCTGGCCAGGACGATACGAATGAGCCGGTTGGCGATGGAGATCAGCACTGCGTTTGGTTCTCTCAGTGGTAGCGGACAGAGCCTCTCGAGCCCTCCTCCATACCTCCTTCAGACGCTTAATGTGAGCCCCCACAGAAGGAACAGCGACCTCTCTCTCCTGTTCTGGAAA